TTTTTATATCCAATATAATTATATCGTTTAGAGATAAATAAATGAAGGGTAACATTTTTTGACACATGTATAAAGATGAAAGATGGGAAGTAAAATTCTCCATCTCTGTGGTAGAAGGAGCCTTTCTGCAAGCAAGGAATGAATTTCCATAGATTATACCCATTCCTGACTTCTGCCAGTGACAGTTGTGGATGAAATTCAGCACAAAAGCTGGCTGTACAATTGTAAATGTCTTTATTTTTATGTAGGATTTTCTCAGGAGCAGAATGCAGTCACGGCAGGAAATGTTGGAACAAGAATCACAGGAGCAGGACAGGCAACAAAACCAGCACCAGGCTGCCAAAGGGAGAGTGTTTCAGAGCAGAGACCGTTCACACCAGAAGATGGAAAAAGAACGCCAAAAACTCTGTGACCTCCAGCAGTACCTCAGAGAACAGAATCTTTTGATGCTCCGGGCATCACTGCTAGCATAAGGAAGCTGCAGAGTGGGTAAGCAGGACCTCGAGCAGTTCACAGATCTGCTCTGTATCTTGTAGGTGTGAGCCTGTGCTGGAGCTTGGGTGCCTGAATGCAGTTGTGACAAGTAGAATTATGATTCCTGGAGAAGTCTTTAACCTCCTTTTCATTGCAGCCAGGATGCGTTTTCACTGCTCTGCCCTTTACATGCCTTTCTTTCTGGAGTCACTATTCTGGTCCACCTCTGTCAAACTGTTCTGTGACTCTGCTGACAGACCTGACTCTGCAACCAAGAGCGACCTTTGTATTTCATATGAAACACAGCCATAGTACTGAGTTTCTGCCCCAAAGGCATCTGAAGGGGGGCGGCTCTTTCCATAGGACTCTGAGGAGTCAGCACCCACAGTGCTGAGTGCTGTAGTCTGAGGCTGGTGGAAGTGTTATGGGGCAATTCAGACTGGAACAACAGAGGACTTGGGAGTTACAAAAGTGATTCAAAGGGCACAAGATCTAGAGCCTGGCAGAGGGGCATCAGGTTGTAGCTGCTTTCAAGATGCCAAGGACAGAGAAAGGAATTAGTTAAGTAAGGGCATAGGCCATACAATAGAGTAGGAGGTGAAGAACAAGAATGAAGGTCAGGAGAAACGCCCTGGGAATGAGTCCCTCAAGTGAAGTGGTGCAAGCACAGGCACAAGTTATGTCCTGATAATACAAGCCTGCAGGGAAATTAAATACAGGCCTGAAAAGGCTTCTGCTGCTGAATTCCGGGAACTTTCTGCCCTGCTGTGTTTCTTCCAGAGCAGCACCAGAAAAGCATGTTTTTTTAAGGTCAAGAACCACATAAAATAGGAAGTGTAGCTATGCAATGCTGTTATATGACTTACCTTGCTATATTAATGTTATATGAAATATTGGGAAGGAGAGCTGGCCACCAGATGAATGTTTAAAAAAAACCCAAAAAACAAAAAAAACACAAAAAAACACAAACCTGCAGCAATGAAAATGTACATGCTAAAATACAATGTAAATTATCCACTGCAGTTTCGATTATCAACAACTGACTGTTGCAAGTGTCCCATTGCATGTGAGCTGCAGAGATCCATGTGGAAGAAGTCCCCATATGTATGACACAGTTGTGCTGCTACAAAACTGCTGAAGTAGGCAGGGCAGGGATCCAGTGACAGGAGAAGTGATTCAGAAAACCCTCCAGCTTGGGCTTCAGGTAAGTGTAGATCTTCTACTGTCAGGGCGTATGTACTGCTTGGAATGTGTAGGCCACTGCCATAGAGGAGGAATGACTTATAGAAGCCAAAAATGCAAAAAGGAAGATGGTTGTTTTTTTGGTGAAAGCCACCATTTCTAGGCATTGTGAAGAGAAAAAGGTCTGTTCTCTGAAATACCTGTCTCTGGAGAATCACCAAACCCAATGGTGGGCTTGGGGGTCTGTTTTGCCTATGTTCCCGCTTTCAGGCTGGCAGTCTCCAAAAGCAGGAAATCTTATGTCAGAAAGATACTCAGGTATCTTTGCAGGTAGGGTGCCTGGTCAGAATAAACAGACTTTTTGTTCACCACAAATAAATGACAATGCTACAAAGACAAATGAATTTGTAAATGACAGTTAACAAATTGTGTAAGAAACCGAGGTAGCCACAGCACTATAGGAAGAGTTGACTTCCCTATTCAGGCTATAGTGTAAAACATAGTTTCCACCTGGACTCCACATTGCAACTTGCTTATGTCTCCCTTGATTTTCTAAGTGCATTACTGACTTTCCTTAACGAAGCCTGTGGTGTCAGCCGCTCCCGTGGACAAGCTACCAGCTTCTCCCCTCCCCTGAAAAGAAAGAGTAAGGCACATCAAGAGGCAGTTTTCTGCAACAGGAAGGGAGAGAAGAGGTTTTTTAGTGCCTTGTACTCTGATTAGTGGGGGTGCCTTCTTTCACAAAGCAGAGCAGGAGGTTATGGTTGTCGCATCCTGAAGTGCCTTCCCTCTTCCTCATATCATCGGAGGTACAAAATACAGTGGCTGTGTCACAGTGAATGCTGTTATCAGTTCTGGGTAGCCAGAAATGTACCTGTTCTTTTCATGTGGGTATTTAGGAAAGGAGAATGGACATGGCACAATTTATTTCCTGGAACACTCGGAGCTATTTTGAAGGATGTTCTTATTTTACGGAAAATTGTGCTAATATATATATATTTGCAATACCTTGTTTTAAGTAATACCTAGAGCCAAACTAGATACAAAATTGAAATGTTGCCTGATGTTGTGTGTACACTTAGAAACATTTTACACATTTTCTGGCACCTAGCAAAAAGCATAAGTATTACAAAAATTCACCCCTTTTACAGGAACACAGCACCAGTGATAACAGTGGTTTTTAAAAAAAAAAAAAAACAAACAAAACCAAACCATTCAGAAAACTTGTACAAGGGAGCTCCTTTGAAATTCTGTCACACCTTCTAAATGGCCAGCAGTTTCTTAGCAGGAAGTCTCAGACTGTGTTCCTCCAGAGATAACCGAGAGGCTATGCCTTCAGCTTTCCTCAAAAAGAGTTAAAGTTAAGTCTCTCATCCAGATGTTTATGAACTATTCTAAGGCCTTAATAGCTAAAAGGGGTATTTTTAACTTCAGGATCCATAATATGCATGAAACATCCTGAGATTTTTTGTTTTGGTTTGTTTTTTTTAAAAAGGAAATGGAAAGAAAACTTATATATAAGGTGAAGGCTTTGACATTTTGTTTGTTTGTTTGTTTGTATTAAGGTCTGAAAAAATAACTTGCTGCATACATGGCAACTACATGTGAAGCACAAGTTTCACATTTTAGATGTGGAATTCTGTCATTTGGTTTAAGCTCTGTTTAGCCTCTGGAAAAGTTGGCTGAAGTTTGCTCAGCAAGAACATGGGTGGCTGGGCCCAAGACCTGCCTAACGGATGGCCTCAGCGCAGGCTGCACGCACTGCAGAGGGCTATGCCTGGCACCTCTACCCCACAGCTGGGTGGAAATGGAAGGGGGCATGCACATGGGTGCTGGCAGCACAAGGAGATTGATGTAAAGTTTTGGGGTTGCTTGCTTTTCTTCTGAGTTCTCTTTTATGCAAACTCATGTGCTAGTTGTCAACAGCGCACCTAGGTATGAGTTTAAGTCTAACTAGACTTACAGAAACAAGCCTAAAACTTAGAAGATATTAAGCACTACAGCTGCTTTCATCCTTAAGCATTTGGAAATGGAATACATAATGATTAAAGGAAAGTACATGAAATATATTGAGCAGGATCTAAACTTATTTTTCAGACTTCATTTATACATCATTAATCATTATTTTATAATCACCATAAAACAGCAGATTGTCTGCTTATGTACTTTCTCTTCATTGCTTAACCATCTGAAAACAGATTACTGCTGCTGTGCTGCTGCAATTTCACATACAGTATATCTGGGAATATATTTAGTATTACAGTATTTCCAATCATTCATAGACTGTGTTTCTCACTATTTAAAAACAGCCATAAACTAATTTTAATACTATTATTAAAGTAACTGACTGTAAAAGCTATGCATGATTTAAATATTTTGCTGGCTTTATTTAATTTTAAACATTCTCAATGTGTTTTCCATCTATTAGGAAAATGCTTGGACTCCTTGTTTTGCAAACTACTGGAAACAAAACCCCAGCATTTGCGTATTAGTTAAGGTTTTGAGTTGACTAGAGTGAGATTAGGGGAGCAGGGCAGAGAGTGGTAGGAAGGAAACACGCAGAGAAAAAAAGAAAATACTTTTTAAGGTTCAAAAAAAAAATCAACGAAGACTAGTACAAATATTGCCAAAAGTTGTTTTTATTGTGGATTAGTTTTTCTGCCTAGGCAAATATTTTCTTTTGCTGTTTATAATCCAAACTCCTATAGTATTGTGCTAGAGTATGGAAGTTTGAAATATCAGATTGACTCATCTGTTTTTATCATCCAAGATGACTAAGAACAGACCACTCCATGCAGGATCTCAGGACACTTCTACAATAAAAGTAGAAGTTAAAAGTACAAAAGACAAAAACGTTTATTGGCTTTTTTTCAGCCTGAATTAGTTGCTTAGGTGGTGTTAGGACATCATTTCTCATACCACAGTCACAGATAAGTCAGTAAACTAACTTTAAATATTTACCCTGATATATTTCAAAACAGACTTGGATCAATGAACATCTTTTAAAAGACTTTTAGACAAGTAAGACTGTTTTTCTCATCAGGCTGCAGTGATCTTGTGCACCTAAGCTACATGATATGTCAGTTTAAAAACTGCCAGAGCACATTAGCTCTTAGAGCTGTGTAATGAGTCAGAACTCTCCAACTGCACAAAGTCTTCCTGGTTTCTGGAACAGACCTCCTAATCATCCCGTGCCTGGTGCTTGGCTGAAATGACTGAAGGCAACACTAATGGAGAGTAACCACTGCATGGCACTTCCCCAAGATACATGCAACTTCCCACCTTCAGCTTCTTGCTCTGTCAGCTCACAGATGGCACAGTGAGAGGGCAGCAGCCACAAGAGTCTATTCAAGGACAGAAGCTGCAGTTTTGATGAGCAGTGGTTTAGCTGCCTCTAGGATGTCCAGTTCAGGGTCCAGTGAACGACCAAGACCTTCCAGAACCATGATGGCAAAAATGATGGAAGCAAAATTGCTCTCGAGCTTCACCTAGAATGACAAGTGACTGAATTAACTCAATGGACCTTTTTTTTTTCCGAAGCGCATTCCACAGAGGTAGCAGCTCTAGCTAAGTTGAGAGGGAAGGGAAGAGGCTGGGGAGAGCACACACATCTGAAACTACACTGCAACCCCATCACTTGGAGTTTCAGAATGCACTGAAATCCAGCAGCAGGCCCAGAAATAAGACAACAGTTTCAGGGTAAGTGCCCTAAGGGAACCCAGGAGTTTGTTTTTCAGTTCCAAGAAAGGGAAGGGGATTTTTTTTTTTTCTTTCATACTGGAATAGCTGGAGCTTGGGTAGGAGCTGCAGTAGTATCCAATGTCCTTGAATGCATGCACTTGTGTAAGGGGAAGCTCACCTTCTGAATGGCCACAAAAGACTCCCAAATATCACAGAGGAAACAATCCCCTGCTCTACATGTGAACAAACCACTCCCCAGTTCCCAGCCAGACACCAGGATTGTTTCAAGGCATACCAGGGTATTAAGAATTCATGGAGTTGGGAGGACTTGCTTTGTAAGGGCCTAAATTACATTTCACATTATTAGAAACCAGCTTAATGAGGCTTAATGGCAAAAACCTCTAACTAAAGAATGTTTAGGAGGACCCTTTGCAGGCTGGGCAGCCCTGTGGCTGACAACCTTCTCATCTCCTCTAAGTTCAGGCCACCCTAGATCTGTTGATTTCCAAAGTTGTTTGCAACTGTGGAAAGTTGTTCCTCAAAATACTATCAGTTATAAGAAGGAATCTCTGTTCTGTGAGCAACTCCTCACTTTTGAGGCCTGTAACAAACCAGTAAAATGGCCCAGTGCTGTTACATAACCACACATCAAGAAAGAAGTCCAGGGAAGAAAGCATCCAATGATACACAAGTGGAACATATATCATATTTCATTTTCTGCTTCTAAGGGAGTATAAAAAAAAATAGGAAAAAACTATGTGTTACAGCAGCATTTCTTTTAGTAAATGAACAAAAAAATCCTTTTAGTAAATAGTATCAACCATTAAATGCAGTATTAAGACAAAAGCCAACAAAACAGAAATTGTTCTTGGTAGGGTGCATTGCAAGGCCTGAGAAACAGTACGCCTGCAACACCTGGATTCATTCCTGCAGCCCCCCTTCTAGCAGTTCGTTTCAGAAGTCACAATCCCCCTCCTTGTCAGCCCTTCATGTTCCCAGTAGTTGTCTTTCCCCAAATGAACTCCCAGCTATTGAAGGCAGACAGTGACAGGACCTCACCTTATGGGTCATCAACAGTTTAAAGACATTGGAGAGGAGATTTGCCACCTGAAGCTGGAATACAAAAGGAGAAGTTAACAACTGATGAAAAAACCTGTGGTCAAGACGACTGAGCTGCGTAAGTGACAGGCAGGATTCTTCTTGCTGTTAGCATTTGGTTCTGGTGGTGGGACACGATTATTGGGCTGACAACAGCCAACAACAAGGTATGATCCCCCTGACCCCAACCAGGATAAGGAGTTCAGCTGTGACCCACAGTTCTGCTTACTTGCCAGCCCAGGAAGGCCGAGAATGTCTGACCTCACAGCAGTACACAACATGCACTAATTTGCTCAATAGCACCATCCTATGTTCTCTGAAGTGTCCAGCTGGCCTTAGCTAACAGGATGCAAGTTGTAACATCAGGCTCAGCAAGTCCTCACAGGGAACTGCAGATGTTAAGAGACTTACTTTTTTTTTTTAAAGAAAAAAAGGAAACAAAAAGAACCCCCCAAAACCCCCTACAACTGAACAAACACTTTTTTTTTTTTTTAATTAGAAGGAAATAAGAAAGGATTTTATGGACTTTTGCTGCACCTGAGAGACTAAAGGTGCCCAGTACTGGTTGGTGGTGCTGATGAGATCAGAGCTGGCCTTTTCACATGGATCATTCTGAAAGCCACGTTGCACTGAATTACAGGTAAGTGAGGGTACGACATTGTGCACTTGCCTTTCCTAGGGCAATGGTGTTCCCCCGGACCTTGGTCACTAGTTCTGCCATCTCAGCTTTGAATCGCTCGATGTCCTGGCATTGGTTAGCACGGGCGTGATGAAGGATCAGTTCTGCCACTCTCTCCCCCTGTGAAACAAGTTGAAAAGGAGAATCAGACTTGACCACTGGTGCCAGCAGGCCTACAGGGAGCTGCACATCATCATCCCTGGAAGGCTTCTGCTGCATAGGTCCCTGGAGGAGGCACACTGCAGGGAGAACTGTGCTTTCCTATTCCAGCAATGGAGACCCAACAAATCAACAGAAGCAGGTGCAGGAAAAGCAGAACTGGTCCAAAAGTCTTAGCTGGTATCTGGCAAAACCCTACTTATTTTTCTTGCAGGCCTTGTAGGGTAGAATACAACAAAGATACCTCCCAGTCAGTCAGAAGTTTCAGAGGGAAGAATAAAACCCACGGGACTGGCCTTTCCTTCTTAGCAGAGGAGATAATGGTGTAAGGAAGGGCATATATTAACCTCCTTTAAAGGCTAAGTCCAAACTTCCATTTGCAAACTGTGGAGGACAAGTGAGCTAAGTCTACATGAGTAAATGCTGTTTGAGAAAAGGGGAAGCTATACCCAAGCTTCACATGTGAGAGGCTTGGAAGACATGTCTGACAGTGACGTACAGAGCCAGAGGCCCCAGGTTTGGCAATGGGACTTCATGTAGAAGTTTTTCACCTGTGGATCATGAATTACACCCAGCCTGAGCCATGAAGGACTTGCAATCAAATGTTTGTAGCTTTTACTTGGTAGCCGAGAGTAAGTCTGGCAGCACGGGATGGGCCTGAATACACAGTTTAGCACTTGACTCCTTGGTATGCTTCAGCACATTAAACAAACCAAGTTAAAACACGTCCCTCTTGAGATATGCTGGTGAGCCATCCCACCCACAGCTGAGAAACAGCAACATGCAAGTATGAGCACAGATGTTTGTTTTCAGAATGAAAAGGAGACATCAGCACTGGATTCTTTAGTCCATCTGACAGTGCATTTTAAAATAAGTGGGAAGGAGGATAAAGTAGTTCCTCTTATACAGTGGAGGCTGGCAGAGGCCAGATACCTCTCCCCCCCCACCTGTTTTGCTTCCTCTTCTCTACAGACCCTGACACAACAGCAAAACACAGGATGGCATATGGCGTTTCCAGCAGCAAGGCTGCAGAAGGGAACATGTATGGAAGACCAAGATGTTAACCCATTCCCTCCTCTTCTTTAGTAAAACCTGGCAGATTCTGCAACAGTCCCAAATGCCAAGTGGCTCCCAGGCAGTCCTAACTTGCATCAGATGCACTCCTGACCAGGGAGTGGAAGCCACGGCTTCCTGTTTAATACCTTCTGTTTCCTAGGCCACTGAAATTGCTCCACTCGGCAGGCTCCATGCTGTAGCTGAACATCTTATCCCTGTGTCTGGTATAGCTTCCACACTAGCAAGTATCTTCTCCCCTCTTAGGGAGGATTGTAAGGGGAAACAGAGAAAACTAACTTCAGCCATCAGACCCTACAGCTGTCTCCCTTCCTCAGCCTTAGCTTCCCAGTCCCATGACAGGAGGCCTCACCTGGCCCTGGACCACAGCTGTGAAAACCGCACGGAAGTTCTGCATGTCGGCGCTCTGCAGCTCCGCCACTATCCCTGCGTCCAGCAGCACCAGGCAGAGCTGCCTCAGGGGTGGCTGCACTTCCACCACGAGCGTGTCACACAGGTCCACGATGGCAGTCTGCTCCTTGCAGCTGGTGCTGACATGGGCCGTGCCTTGAACCAGGATGTTCCCAGGGTGCAAGTCAGCATGGACAAAGTTGTCAACAAAGACCTAGAGGATGGGCAAGTCTTAGAGCAGCTCATTCCAAACAAACCTGCCCACGCCAAAACTCCCAGGCAAGCAGCAGAGATTTGTTTCTGGTCTGTTCACTGTCATTACTAATGTGCATCACCCTAGGCAGCAATACAGCAAATGGCTTTTGCTGGAGATCGGCTGTGCTGAAATGGCATGGGTGCTATTCACTCTAGGGGAGTCAGCAGAGCTGTGTGAAGCAATCCAGTGTTTCCTAGAGGTCAGGTAGGACAGCTAGGAATCCCAGCAGGGAACAGTAGTGCTCTCTGGCAATTAACTCTAAACTGGAGGCACACTGGTGGGCTTTGGCAAAAAGTAATGCAATAAGAATAGGCCATTTGCCATTCAGTGGCATGGGTTATAGTGAATGGTTAAGTCTGTCATGACTTAAGTCTGGGACATGAACCCACATTACAACTGTATTGAAAAGCAAGGAAAACAAGTTAAGAGAAGAGGAAACAAGTGTATGTAGCACTTCTCTGCCTCTGCTAGTAGTTAGAAAGGACTAGCAAGAGGGCAAGCACAAGACAGTACTTCCCCGCTAACCCTCCTGGCCACCTGGGACTGCAGGACTCCTGCCCCAAGGAGGTTATCTTTGTATTTCATGGCTTTCTCCTATGAATTTGTGTGATTGCCATGTAAATAATTAGAGCTGTGTGGGAAAGAAAAAAAAAAAAAAAAAGGATTTTTTAGGTGTTGCCTGAAAAAATTACCTCTGATAATTTTATGTCCTCCTCAGTGTTCTCTTTTGAGAAACTATACACAGTAGATCCATATTCACACCCATGCACTCATGAATGCATATATCTCTGTCATAAGCTACTCATTTCTCTGCTTTCCAGAGTTAAGAGTCCAAATTATTTCACCATTTCGGTATGGAAGCTATTCCACACCAGTAATCATCCTGGCTGCCTTTCTCTGCACCTCTTCTAGTTGTTACAGCCCTTGAAATGGAGAGTCCTAGACAGCGAGGGACTAGAACTGTACAGAGTATTCAAGTAACAGGTACTGGTTTTACTTACAGCCATAATGTTGTTTCTTTGCTCTTTAATTCTTTTCTACTCCTAAAATTTGGCAGTTTTTCCCTGCTCTTAACCATTGAACCCAATGTTAGCATAAAACTATTCTAGTTCCACCATTGCTTTTCTAAGCGGTAAAAGCTATTTCAGAGTGTCATACTACACGGAGTCAGAACTGCAGGCCTTGCCACCGCCCTTGCACGATGTTGCAGTTACCAACTGAATTTCATCTGACACTGCCCACGCACCCAGTACTGCGAGGTTCTGCAACTCTTTCTTGCTAGTTCTTATAGCTCCTCAAAAGTCAATTGCGTCACCTCTCAACACTCCTTTCCAGATCAAATAATTTGTGATTATTTCAACCACAAAAGAACTAGACAGCCAGAGGCTGAATCATAAGATGAATCTGGCCAGGTTTATTTTCTTTACTCTGTATTTAATTCTTCCTTAAAAGAGTCAGTTTTGGAGAGAGGTCAATAAATGAAGAAACTAGCTAGCTGCATTCCCTGTGAGTCACATCCATAGTCTCTGCAAAGAACAGTATTTGCTAATTAAATTGCACTTTATAGCACTTGGGCAATATGCAAATATTAATTAAATGGATTAGGGGGTTTCCTAAACAATGCACTGATCAAGTTGCATAGGAGGACCCTACTGTGTGCAAGCAGATCACCCTTCAGCAGTGGACAAGGCTCCATGTCAGAGTCTACAATAGTGGTGTACCTAGCCCAGGCTTTACTCAGACCTTCTGTTGCATTCCACATAAAGTACAGACCCTCCTTCTGCCAGTTCAGGAGCTGCACAGTGCCCAACAGCCCAAGCCCCGGGTTACTGTGAGATACCTGGTATCCACAGGCTGGCTCCAAAAGGCACAGCTTTATCTTTGAGTCCCTGGGGAGAAGGGTAAGGGACGCGAGAAGCAACCAGGTTCTCTCTTTAGCCATACTGTCTTATTAACCCAGCTGAATAGCTTCTGCAGGAAAACCACCTTCACTTCCAGCCTCAGCCAAGTGCCTACCATTTTTAGCAGCATGTCCATGCCCATCTTTGCAAGTCTCTGCCTCAGCTCTGTGGCAATCTCTGCATGCAGGTAGTGCGAAATAGGCTCACTCTCCTGAAATAAAGACAGAGCTAGAGTCAAACACAGGTGCCGAGAGTTGAGGGAAGGCAGTTAAGAATACTGTAGAAAGGACCTGCTCAGTAGAGGCTCTATATAATGTGATGGAGAACGTACAAGAAGTAAGGGTTTGTTTTTTGGAAAAAGTGTGTCATATAGCCTCTGGCAGAGATACTCTTGCCAGGAACACATGCACAAAAACTAAGGCTGAGAGTAGCTTTGGTCTGCTACTCAAACATCCACAAGGGAAATGAGGCAAGCATCAGAAAGTGTCAGATTGCTGAGCTCCTTGCTTTGGCCCACCACAGAGGAGAGCTGAGGCATGGTGTTGGTTTGCAAAACACAGGCAAACACATGGTGGCTGGACACACTGCTTGGTTTCAGGCCAAGTGTTTGCTTCTACATGGAGTTGTCTGCCATCTGTCTTCCGGGATACACTGCTTACAAAGAGACTGGAAGAGACACCGAGGAAGGACACCAATCTCTTTAAGCAAATAAAAGCAAAGCATCCTCCTGCCTCTGGTCGCTCCTTCTCAAAAAAACCACCTCCTTGGCACCTCTCCTAAGGTCCTTCTCACTGCTACCACCACTCTCAGACCCTGCAATTCTTACCTCAAATGTTTCCACTAGAACATCTGTCGTTACCAAAGGCCGAAGGGGAGTTGGAAATTTTACAAAATCGACATCTAGGAAATTTTGTCGGAAGCGCTCCAGATTTCTGGCTTCATAGCGCAAGTCAATCTCAAGGGAGAAAAAGAAAAAGCAGGTTGGAAATTAGATTCAATTAGAATTAGATCTTCTGGATTCTGTACGACATGACTGTACAGTGCAATACTCAATACCAACAAAACTAGTCAGAAAGCCAGAATGAAAACAAAATAGAGTGTTTTTTCTTACATGCTTATAGCTTTCCTGATGGAAGAGCAGAGTAACAGACTGGGTAATGGATGGCCCAAAACCTAGTACCTTCAAAGTACGGGTAACTCTTACTATAGGCATGGTGTCTCAAAAAAGACCAGGACTGTGCACCAAGACACTGTAACTGTGTATTTTCAAGGGTAAAAGACAGATCCTGAAGCAAAGCTTACTGTCCAAACAGCAAGGCAGGCAGGCAGACAGGGTAGAACTGCAGTCCTAGCCTCACTTTACAGACAGGCAGCCATAGCAGGAAGAAACTTAATGTAACATGTACAAAATAATCCACCATGCAAAGTCCTGACCCTAGCTCTTCAGTGATCCAGTGCCTCGACACAAGGGCACATCTCCTACCCACAGCTGCTGCTGCTCAAGGAGGCAGGATAACCTTGCCTCACCTCCCTCATCTGTCAGCGTGAAATATCCCAGGAAACAAAAGGACATTACAACAAGCCTATCAGATGCTCTCCTTATCCTCAGTCTTCAGCACATCCAGCAAAAGCTCTGCTGGACTAAACTGGTGCTAATGACCTCGAGTCACATCTGAATACAGGCAACAGTTTGCAACATGGATTTATTGTTTAGGGGTTTTTTTGCAATCGTAGGAAAGAATTAAGGCTTTCAAAAAGCTTGTAACAGACTTCAGATTCTGCAACCTACACGCAAAAATGAAATTAGCAGATAATCGTTCATTTTAATAGATGCATAAGCCTAATTGAGCCTGTAATGAAATCTCTGTAAGTTTGGTAGTAAGGACATTTTCGGACTGTGTCTTTAGAAGACATTAGTAAATCAGGACATTTCCAGATCTATTTGCAAAGCTTAACTTTACCAATACTATGAGTCTGATGACAATACAATGTAGAATGTATTATTAACTTATGTGAAAGTATATTAGCTATGCCAATATATATACCTCAGTGCTAACAAACATGACCAGTGCGTACAGATTGCAAACATGTAGGATTAAAGAGAAAAAACACATGCCTGAGGGCTTGTTTGGAGAGATTCTTTTCTACAGAGAGGTCTCTCACCAGTGCTCATCTTTCACAATGCTGCAAAAAGTACTGTGACTGTGGCTAGCTAGGTGTTCAGGCTGTTTGCTAGAAAACATACTCAGTCTAAAAAAAGATTTTCAAATTCTGTAAAAGATTTTTAAATTTAATAATGCTTGCTAAATTTTTTCATTTCTTTGCTTTTTTATACTGTGATCATATAAGCTTTCCTACAGTCACATTATATGACTGATGAGAATAAAGAACATAACTAAATAACAAACAAGCCCTTTAAAAAGCAGCAGTGTGAACAGGGTCAGAGGCAGCCAGTGGCAAAGCAAAGGGCAGTTTTGTTTCAGTACATGGGGACACCATAGCATGGCACGCACCTGCTGAATCATAAGCTTCTCAAACTCCTCCACAATCTCTGTCAAACTGAGCCACTTGAATCCAGGGAGAAGTCCAATGAGGTGGCTACCCATCTTCATGAGAAACAGATCCATCTGGACTTGGTGGACTAGCCCAGGGTGCAGGACCTGCACAAGAATGAACAGTGACAAGATCAACTCCCCAAAGGTTGTAAAAAGGACGGTCCATTTCAGTCAGCTGAAGTGATGCATTCCAAACAGACAGAGCCCAGCCTATAAAGCTGGGAGCTAACAAGGCTTCTCCAGCTAGTCCTCAAAATTCACATTTTCCATGGATTAAGCTGTAAAGAAACATATTACAATCTTCAAATGGAATATATCTGTGCTGGAGCCTACAGTCTCACCCAATGCCATTTTTCCCCATTGCTTTTACATGCCCACCCTCTCCGTGCCATGCAGTACTGACTAGTATTTGGAACAGCTCAAATATAAGATTTCTTTAAATAAACTTTGCTGGAAAAAACTTATCTGTTCCAGATTTCTTTGTGTGAGGAGAGAAGGGGTTTCATTTTCTGGAAGGTGAAACCAAGCTTAATATTCATTATTTTAATATAAACTTGGCCCTTGCAGGCATTTCTGGCATCCACATGCCATGCTAAAGGTGCCATAGGCGGTATATGTACTCAAGCTCCCTGGGCTGGGAAGAGCTGTGACCACTGCAAGTCTGGATTGCAGCTGGCTGGAACCAAAGCACTGAGAAAAGACACTGAGGCAGACGAGCATCACTTCTCTCGCTCTACCTGGCCCTAGCCAGCTACTCATCTCTTTGGGAATTAAAATCTGATTGGCCTTCTGCAGCATGCTCCATTTTCACACATCTACTGGCCAGATGTATGACTTACTTTAATGGCTACAGGTATGAGATGTCTGGATGATGAAGGATTTGCATTCAGGAGTGGTTTGGCCATCTGCTCCATAAGGGGTATCCCACTGACAGGACTTCCCTGGGAGCTGTCTGCTGGGCTCAGCTCCTCCCTGCTCCTCTCATCTTGTGTCTCCTTGCTCTTCCTCCTCCTCAGCCACCTGAGAAGGCCACTAAAGCCTGACACTTCCCACGCTTCAAAAGCAGACCGTAACTCTGAGCGTTGCGCTAGCTCCTTGGCCTGGGAGCCAGCGATAGCCGTGACGTCCGCATAGGCTTTATACACCTGGGCGACGCAGCCTGAGCCGACTGGCTCCTGACTTTGGAACTTGAGTATGCCTGTCCAGTCCTCGCCGAAGGCCTTCCTCAGGAGATCATCAGTGTGGCCCCACGGGTGCGGGCTCACCTCAACATGCAGCTTGGAAAACTCATCGCAGAAGGCCTCGGAGAAGAGGTCCCTCCGGGTGCTGGCCCACTGGCCCAGCTTGACACAGGTGGGGCCAGCAGCCTCGGCCGCCCGCCGCAGCAGCCGCAGCCACAGGGCGCCCAGGCCGGGCCACAGGCGGCTCAGCGGGGAGAGCAGCAGCAGGGGGCCGAAGCGCAGCAGCAACCCGCAGGCCCGCAGACCCAACCGGAGCACCAGACCCAAGCGCCGCAGCAGCCCCCGAGGCGGCCGTTCCGGGCTGCGCTCCCCTACCCATACCGGCCCCCGCTGTCCCGGCCTCTCCTTCCAACCGGTCCCAGCGGGCACCGCCAAGGCCACCGCGACCCAGCGTCCGGCACGCAACCCGCCGCGCCCCGCGGTCGCCCAACCGGACAGCACCCCCCTCGCCCCGGCGGCCCGCCCGAGGAGGGGGCGCGGGAGCGGCAGCAGCCGCACGGCTCCGCCCGCCACCATAGCCCGCCCGCCGCCGTTAACGGCCTCTAACGGCCGGCCGAGGGGCTGGGGGGGGCACGCGGGCGGAGCCAGCCAATCAGCGCCGGCGGGCGGTGGCGGCCCGCCCCTTAAAGGCACAGGAGCGGGAGCCTCGAAGGAATGTGAGGTGATTCTTCCCGCCTCACAGCGGGCAGAGCCCTGTGAGGGGATGCGCTTGACTAGGCTATAGCCTCTCGAGGAGGAGCGTCCCCTCAGGTTCCGGCTATGCCGGAGGAGGATGAGAGGCCCTCTTGTCACCGGGTGCCCGCAGGGATAGCCCGGTGACAAGAGGGAAGGGGCCCACACGTCTCTATCCATTTTGAGAGCTGAGGTGGGCTCTTGCTGTCTTGGTTTTGAGCCTACCTTGGTTTGGACTAGTGCAGTGAATCAAACTACAGGTGAAACGTGGGGGGTTGACGCAAGCGGGGTGTTACTTCAGCCATTGCGAGGTGGCAGCTGCCTCTTCCTTTTTTCCATGATGAGAGAAGCTGGTGAAGCCATTTTTATTTTTAAGCAAAAGCTGAGGCTTTCTAGGAGTAGGCTGACTGTGGCAGTCAAACTGTTGCAATTAGTGATATTTTTTTTTAGTGGGGTATTAATGCAACAGTCAGAGCTTTGAGTAATAGAAGTCTATGAAGGCACACGACGGCTGGTAAAAGAAATTAAAATTAAAAGGAAAAGCCTGCTGATGGTATTTCAGTAGAGCTACTGAGTTGTTTCACCTTCCAGGCTTGCTCTGAACCTTGGGCTTTCTGCTCCAGCGGCAGCGCTGCATCTCCTGCTTATTCAACTGGGAAGGTATTAACCTCATTTGTAATTACACAACTATGGAGGACTGCTCATTTCCTTCGCAAAGGACATGTGTCTCTTATAAATGGAAACTAACGAACCTGATGCAGAGGATGCAGCCGACAATGACATCATCCACCTCTCCCTTTTGCGAGCTTTTGTGTACGTGACCACAACCCGTGACAGAATGTGGTTTAGGGGAGAGATACCGCAAAAGCGGCACTGCAAGTCGCGTTGCCATCACGGCTCTTCAGCAAAGTCACTGTCTTGTGCAGGGAGGCTTTAGGCTGGCAGCCATGGCCTCTCGCTCTGGGTGTTTGGCTGGTTCCCAGCTCTGGGTGTGCGTTACTAACTGCGTATTTCTACTCAGAGGAGAAAACCCCATTCTGACATTTTTAATGTATGGTGGGCACTGAACACCTGTAGGAAGAATTAATCCCCTTTCCGACGCAGATCCCTCCCTTGCTGCAACGGGTGGCTCAGGTCTGACCAAGCAAAATCTCTGCCAACAGGATTACAGCCCCACGCAGGTGAATAGATCAGCTGATCTGCAGGCTGGGGGCTTTCCTCGGCCAGCCGCTTTCCCGTGAAGTGTGTCCGTGAGCTGACCAGATGTCGTGACAGGTTCCTTCAGCGACAGGAAGCTGTTGCAGTAACCAGTGCTGGTTTGGTTACAAGTCGGGACTTTCTACTTTCCCTCGGATATTTCTGTTTGCAACCAGAAAGGCGACTTGGTGCCCCTCATCTCTTTTTTTTAATTTCTGCTCTTGCCACCGGCAGGCGCCCCCTCACCTCCGTGTCCCCTCCACGCCCCGTGTGCCCC